TGGTCACTTCTGTAAGAACATCAAATCCAAGAATTCTGACAGAGTGCCCTGCTCTTCGTTTTCAAAGATGTGGAATAATAATTAATTAGCTTATAGTTACCATCATTTTCGGTTTTTTTCTCATCCATGGGTATGGTAGTTCCTTGTCTTGCGACATCGTGCTAAGTATATGAATTAAATTGTTGTATTTTAACACAAATAACCGTTTCCACAACCTCTCTTCGCCACGTCAACGCCGAAACTAATACTACCCCAACAAACAACTCAATAATAAAACAGCAGTGTTTAAGTTGGTTTCCTAGTAACGATGCTGACGCAATAATGGGGGTGGACGACTGGCCAGCAGAAATGGTTACAGGAGCAGTCGTCATCCACGCATAGTATTACTCCCGTCTATATTCGGATGAAAAACTGATAGCACATCTGTGCGAAACACATACCTACCACATTTTATTTGTCTGAAGCAATCACAGAGCACCTAAGAAACCTATCTGATTTCATGTTGAGTTGCTGGATGAATTTAGCCCAAATATGTACAGTTATGGCGTATTATATGCAAATTTGTAGTTAGTTTTTATTTAGAGAGGGTGGGTTTCTCCATGCACCGCGACCATTTTGATCTATTGTGCTCCCTCTATGATATTCTTCCAGTCTCTTTACGCTATCGATAAATGGTGCGTACCATCAGTCCCGCCGAGCAAGCGATTTCGGCCACTTGCTTACCGGTGTGCAAATTGGTAAATATGAGTTTTTATTTTATGCTGTGAAAGGGAGTGTATGTTAACACGAGAAGAAGACGAGCAGGGAAGCAGAGCGTGCCTGATGAATACTGGCGATAGTACCTTCGTAGCGGGCTAGCGTGAGCTCGTGATAATGGTGTCCCTGTAAAGGGTCGTTTTACGGAAGCTGGACGTTCCTGCTGGATGCCGGACGAAGCTCTCGACGTAGTCGGCTGTCCTGATGACAGCTGATGGTCCTATCCTTGTGGGGCGCCCACTCTAACGAGAGGCCGTGTCTGTCATTTGTTAGAGTCATCGTCAGCAATAATATGTCAGTTGTCAGAAAGTATAATGTTTCAAATGCATATACGATACATACAAGGCCTCTGCCAGTTCGGGCTCAGTACAGCAGATTATTCCCTATTTCTAGTAGCTTCCGGTACCATGGAAGTCTAGTCACTTGAACGGTCGTATGCTAACCGCCGCTAAGTTTAAGCATCTTATACTTTCTGTGTTGGGCTTTGCCTTGTCCAGTGTTGCGAAGATTTTCATTATCATGGTTTTGTATGACTTCTGCTTGTTGCCTGCATAATTTTGTCATATAATCATATATTTACGGAAGTTTTAAAGCCACGTGTAAATCGCAAACCAGTGTGCGCCTTGTATAATTGCCAATGGTGCAGAGACCCTTGTTCTGCAGGCACTGCAATTTCATTAGATGGATATCTGCCGCAAATTCCAGGCGGGACTAATGTAAGTCATTACGGACCTAATGAGAGCTTTGTGGAGGGCCAGTTTAATGTTACCACTTAATCGCTCACTTCTGAATAAGGAATATACTCTAATAAATATTCTGAAGGCTTTGGCTTCGATCATTTTTATGTGCAACCTCGATGTAACCCTCCTATCGAAGATTACACCGAAATATTTTAGAAGCGGACGAATACTGCGAGAGAGGTAGATCCCCCGAGTCTTACCTTCATTAATTTTGATATTCCAGAGCCCACACCAGGTCTCCATTGAGCTGAGACCGCGCTGGAGTTTTCTAACAGTAAAACCCTCCTTATGATCTGTCGCATAGACAGATGTCGTCTGCAAAAGGGGGTAGATGAATGCCTTGTGTTCGGGGGGCATCATTTATGTATATATTTTAAAGAGTAGGGGACAGGACTGAACCTTATGGCACCCGTGCTTGCATTTCCCTTGGTGTAAATATTTTCCCTTCCCCCGAAACACTGTTTTTTTGTTGTTGTTGTTGTTGTTGTTGTTGTTGTTGTGACAGAAAGAGCCAACGTAGTAGCCAACGTGAGAGCACACGTAGTACAGACAAGCAGCGGCATTCACACAAGAAGACTACATTAAATAACACCTGTACAGTGTGAAAACAAGAACTAGCCGCTCCAGCACTTAGACATAGGGCGAGTAACCCTAAGAATTTTAAAGTTTAAATTTAAAATTTAGAGAAAATTTTAAAAGATTTTAAAAAAAATCATAACTAAAGATTTTTAGAGTGCTACTACAAGAATATCGGGTTTGACGTGTGCAACATAATCTACATACCAGACACATATCAACGATGTAGATGTTGATAATACGAAGAACGTGACATTGTGTTTTTAAATGTTAAGTTTTAGACTGGGTTCAGTGTGGCAGCAACGTTAAGAGTATACACCTGATGATGGCCGATAGAGGCCGAAACATGTAGTGTAGAAAGAACAAGATCAAAGACATATAAATGTATATTGTTTGCACTTAGGACGGAGTTTGTATCATTTATAGCCAAAAAAACTTGATCTAACTGGTCGAAAATTCCATTTTAGACCAGTTATATAGCAAGCCAGAGTGTAATGTTGTATCAAAGGCGTTTTCGATGTTCAAGAACACAGCGACCGTAGATATCTTATTGTTGAAATTATGGGTCATGTTGTCTGTTAGCTTCGTACATTGCAATTTCGTGCTATGATGTGCACGGAAACCAAAATGGCTTGTGTTAAACAGGGGGGGAATTTTGGGTCCTTGCAGTGTTTCGGTAAAGTTAAGAGTTTTATTTCCTTCCAAGGATTTGGAAATTGGGACAAGCGAAGTAATGACTGAATAAATGGGTCAAGCGTACCAATCAATAATCGCCTTGGAAGGTGCCTGAGGCCTTCATATAGTATGCCATCAATTCCGCAGGCCTTTCTCAATTTCAAAGGATCTGTTCATTTCTGTAAAACACATAGTCCTGTCCTGTGAGGGGGCTGTTGTCTACGTCTTCGAGTAGAGCTTTAACTATAGCCTCCATCCGCCGTTCATGGTTTTCGTCGCTCAAATCATATGGTATGAACTGTATTTCCAATCAGTCAGCAATTGCGTTGTATTTCTCGGATGGACCAAATTTAAGATCTGTAGCACCATGAATAGCAGTTAGTGTCCTTTGTCCATCCTTTATGAAGGATTTCGGAATGGGCGTTGCCAATTATTTATTCCCACCTTTCAGATGTCTTTTTAGGGGCCATTCACATGATTGATTTCGAGACCCAATTAACTACCGTCTTACACACTGGATCCCTGGCTTTTTGCCAGAATTTTCTTAGCCTTTGCTTATGTTTTAACAACGGATGTAGACCAGGAAGGTTGTTGTTGATGTCTGAAAGTGTAATCTCACTTGTCAACAACCTATACGCCGAAGCATAGTAGTTGTAAAGTCCCGCATCTCTTTATCAGCTTCTGCCCACGAGTTAATTTTGATTTGAGGTGATACTAATTCAGAGGCGAGGCTTTGAAACCGATTCCAATCTGTGGATTTTTCTATAGGTTCCGAGAGATCCTAATTTTGACATGATCCAATAGATCCAATATATGGAATACTATTGCTAGTGTGTCGGACGTCCACATCCTTATAGTACTTTTGTTGCTAGGAGGCGCTCGAACCAATGGACGTTGGGCTGCCGTCGTGTGCACTGATCGGCGCTGGTTGAGTAGCGCTCGCTTTCGTTTTTAATTACTGTGGGTTGGTCGCAGACCTCTCTACAGCAGGCATGTCAAACTCAACTTGTACAGAGGGCCACCTCAGTCCTATAAATAATAGTCCAGGGCCGCACTTCAAAATAGAAATATACATTAGATTTTGATACAAGGAAATTTAATTCTATTTATTATTTAGGAATAATTTCAATATAATTACCTAAAGTCACATATCTTACTGTTTTAAAAAGCAAGAGAATGCAATTTTTGACAAGTATCAAACAACTTTTCAATAGGTAAAAAGAGAGATTACACAAGAAATTATGTTAGAAATAGCAAAACATTGAATTTCCTGCAGCCTGCTAATTTATGTCTGCGTGAGACTTCTTGTCTTCTGGTCTGTTGGAAAATTGTTTTTACAAAAAATATTTCTACTAAAATTTTAATATAAATTAGCTCTAAAAGTTGAGGGGCCCCACTTTGTGGCTATGGGGGCCGCATGTTTGCACAGCTGTTCTACAGCGTCTAGATCGGTCCAGATTAGCTCTGGGACACAGGTTAGAACGGTTAGAATATCATCTGAAATCTCAGTAGCTCTTAACTCTTAACGTTGTTGCCAACATTATAGAACCGTGTAATCAAAACAATACCCATTATATGGAAGCGAAAATACAACATGGAAAAAATAAATATTAATTCGCAGCATCGTATTCTGAAACTCAAGTAATATTTATTTCTTTTGAAAAATGTCATAAACTACAAGTACATACTCATTTAGCTTTACCTGGTTGGACGTGCGCAAGTATCAGCTCTGCATTTGCTTAAAGTATGATTTGAGAATGGGATGTGGGTTTAATTGCGCTATATTATAAAGATAAAATAAATTGATTAATGTTGGAAATGTAAATAACAATCTCTTATTACTCAGTTGTTGTTAGATATCTGACAGAACTAAACTTATGTCATAGTGACAACGAGTAAATATACAACTTGAAGCAATTTGCCCATGACATGCAGTATTACAGTGTAAAAGGATGTTTTGTCTCTGTTGACAATTCTGAACAAATTGAAATTTATTTCGAGTTTGATTCCATATGCTCCCTTGCATATTAACACACCTATCTGTATCAAATTTAGTGACTCGTGTCTGATTTAAATTTAGCGCGATTTGTGTACAGAAACGAAAGCAGGTAGTGCTGTAGTGTTTGGAAGCATGTTTGTGAGGTTTGTGAACGTGTGTTAATATTATTTTTAATTATGGAATACTTGTATTGAATATTTGTATAGTAATTTCTGCTGTGTCTGACTAAGTATATAGGAAAGAGAGTTATATCCTATCAGAAAATGGGTCGACGTTCAATTAATACCACCAAGAGTGGAAAGTATATGAACCCAACAGACCAAGCTAGTAAGTAGACCTTGGAACATAACCTATAATTGAATGAATTGTTTCATATTTAAGAATACGTGTTTGTTAAACAAATTGGGATTTTAATTCAGGGAAGGAAGCTCGTAAGAAAGAATTAAAGAAGAACAAAAAGCAGAGGCAGATGGTGCGGGCAGCTGTTTTAAAAGGAAAGGATCCAGTTCAGCTTATTGCAGAAATGGAGAAAATCGATCAAATGGGTAAGTTATTTTCGTACTCTTTGTTACTGGCAACGTTAACAGCGTATCATGAAACGGGTGATTGTGTTCATGACATTTGTGCCCTATCAAACACTTTGGCAGTAACCAAATGTTACCTACGAGGGTTGGAACTTTAATAGTGGCCACACTGCTGTACATACGCCATGCAACGGAACCAAATAATGTCACTTATACCACACGTTAGTTACATACCTACCTTACCTCAGAGCAAATGGACTCTCCCTTCTCACATCACGTGCATGCGCAGTGACGAGAAGAACAGAGCCTCGTGTTAGCTGGCGGTCTAGTGTAGTGTTGTCACGATGTTTTCGAAACAGGAACAGGACCAGCGCAGTTGGATAAAGATTGAATGTGCCAGATGCTATACAGCATGACAGTTTGATCAAGGTCTTCAAGAGGCTTGCGGGAAATCTGCATTGCCTTACAGAACAGTGGCAAGGTGGGTAAAAGCCTTCAATGAGGGACACCAAAATGTGGCAGACATGCATCATCCAGGTCGTCCTAGTGTCAGTGAAGAAGAAGTGTATGCTCTTTCCGTTTTGCTGGAGAGTGATCAACGCCATACGATTTGTGAGACAGGATTAGCGCATATGACTGTGCTTCACATTCTGAAGGAACGCCTGGGTATGACAAAAATTGCATCACGATGGGTTCCACATGAATTGACGGAAATGTAGAAATGGCAAGCTGTGGCTGATTTGTTAGATTGATGGGGCTGGGAAGCGCTGTACCATCCACCATACTCCCCGGACTTAAGCCCTTGTGACTTCGACTTGATTCCTAAGATGAAGGAACCACTTCATGGCATTTGCTTCAGAACTGTTCCAGAGATTCTTCAGGTAGTAGACTGCTCCATTCGAACTGTCAGCACAACAGGCACTGCTAAAGGTATCCTACGACTTCCACATTGCTGGTAACAGGTTGTACACAGTGCTGGTGACTACATTGAAGGACAGTAAAACTTCGAAACATGCATCTATTTTGTTTCAGTTGTGAATAAATGGTTGCCACTATTAAGGTTCCAACCCCTGTATAATGACGACAACTAATACAGTGAGGGCAAGTAATGGCATGAGATCATCTTCCAAAAATATTTATTCCTTTATCGTTACCATAAATAACCTGATGTATAAATAACTGGTTATATCTCCATTCCTGAAGAGTTCTGTCTGCTGGGATATAACACCATATTGTCTTGAAAGTTTTGGGGGGAATATGTTTCCTCCATGTTCAGGGTTGAAGAAACACAGTGTGGTATCATGGAAGATAGAACTCTTTATACCCACCACTGTAAGTATCTCAACTTCTACATCACTGTACCTGTTCCAGTGCTTGTCCCAGCATCATTAATAGATATCTGATTCCTTTGACATTTCATTTGTTACTTCTCTACATTAAACATGAATAAAGAAATGGCTGGTTTTAGGCCTTCCAGATGGTTAACTGGTATACATCCTGTTTTGTGTCATACATTAGAGTTACTAGGACTGTATACACAACAATAATAACCACAAACAAAGTAGATACTAATGTATCAACATTTTTTTATTAGGCATAGGCATTTGCTACATGCTTCAACCAGCACAAGGTGAATCTGAGAATTTTATCTTAGTTCTTGAATTGTATTTCTTAATATTGATCAGTATTATTACGGTATTTTACCATTTGTTAGCAAATACAACCGTTTTGTTAAAATGTAATTTAACAAATACAAATATATGATTTTTAATTAGACTTAAGAATTTAAACCTAATGTATATGGTTTAAATTTCATATTAGTATTATTATTAATATAGTTTTAGCCTTCAAATAAAATTTAAAATTAATTGCTTAAATTATGCTTTAATCTTTAAGAACTGATTTTATATAAGCTTAAAACTAGAAACTTTTGGTATGTTGTGTTTTTTTGTTGTGGCCATAGTTATTCAGGTGTTAGGGCATAGGTCAACCCAATGTGAGTGTGGTCTTTCTCATAATCTCTGTCACGTTGATTTACTTCTAATCATCGTGTAATGGTTTCCTAAGTGTTTTTCTTTGTGTCACTTCCAGCTAGTTTTTTTTTTTCCATGTGTGGGGTTAACTGGAAGCCACTTTCTCTGTGATAGTTCTTATATAGGTGGCTTCCTGGATAAGTCTTCTGGGGTAGTTGAGCAGCTTGGCTAATGCTGTGGTGACCTCAAAGTTTGTTTGGTGTCATTGGTTTACTGAATGCTCTGCCACTGCTGAATGTTCTGGTTGGTAGAGCCAAATGTCTCTCTGGTGGTCAATTGTGCATTCAGTTGTATGGCTCATCACATGAATGCAGGCAGCCCTGCTTTCACATGGGATCTCGTGAGAGTTCTTAGTTCTTGGCTGTCTTTGACTGGCCTGAAAATGGTGCATGTCTTGGAAGGTGGTAGATGTATAGTTCTCATGGTGTATTCTGCTGACACAGTTGGGTGCGTTGTTCACATGCAGTAGAAGTCCTGTGCCGATAGGTTGCTATTTGTTGTCTGTCTCCCTCATTCTTCCCTGCCCCATTTCTAGGCCCATCTCCCTTCTAAGATACACTCTTGTTAATGCTTACAAGTATTCCAGCAATGCCTCTCAGGAACATTATTCCTGGTGAGCACTATTGTGGGTGATCTCCTCTTGGGAATATAAGTGGTCTTTCATTGTTTTCTTTGGCCCTTAGAAAGGCCGATTTATTCCATGGACAACCTTCCTGTTAGCCCAGACAGGCCACCAACCCCAACTCTTCTTTCCCTTCCTTTTTCAGGACAAACCTATATTATTCAGAAAGGCACCCACCCTTCACAATTTGATCCTGAAGATGGAGGTGCCATGTACCTTTAAATTGTAGGCAGCATTGCCCATGTCCATACAGCATAAGCTACCCAAGAACTATATTAACATCAACGTGATTAAAGGAACCCCTTTTGATATAATTTGATTTGTTGTGAAACATCTGAAAAATCAGAGAAAAGTTCGTGTTTAATATCTGTATGTGTGTGTGTGTGTGTATTTATAATAGCCAAAGAGTCTGTTCCACCCTGTTTCTTGCAAACAATGTGTTTTGAAAAAAACTGGTAAAAACAACAGATGTTTTCTTGGAGAAAACTGTGAATTTTGCTGTTACATTCATGGATTCAAGCACAAGTTAGCTTCTCTCACCATTATTTTTTTACATAAGAACATTGGGGCGTTGATGACAATGGGATTGTGACAACAGCAAGTATGTAAGTTTTGTATGCTTTATAATAACGATTATAACAAGACATGGTTCCAGTAGATTATGTTTATTTATTTTAAAATAACTTAGTTGCATGTTGGTGTAGTTGTAAGTACTGTACTACAATTTGGTATATGTGGAATTCCAAAGGCAGGCCATTTTTAATGAAGGAATACAGTTTTGTTTATACGGCTTGCTCCACACAAACTCTATACCGAGGGTGGTGTGTGAGTCCAAGCGCCTGGAGACACTAAATGTAAGTAACTGGCATGAGTAGCAAAAACAGGTTTTGAAATTACAATGGCAGGGAAAGGTGGGCAGTATGGGACAGTAATCTACAAGCTCCTACTTGTTGGTGGCCTTCCTTACCCTGTTTGACCACTATTTGGGATCATGTCCGGTTCAGGTTTACAAGTAAGCAACTCAGTGAAGTGGTTGTAATAGAACTCAGTGAGCATTTCATCAATAAATAGAGAACAAATAATGATGAAGGTTCGACGTTCTCACAGAGGTGGTTATGGTGAGTTCCATCTTCTGGGATATAATGCTGTGTAGTTTGTTGAAAGTAAACCAACATTTTGGAGAAACATGTTTCCTTCATCTTCAGTGTTGAAGAATAAGCCAAGCAAGCAAACAGTGTGAAAGCAGGTGGGAAGCAGAGCCTCAGATCCTACAAATAAAACAAGAAGTTGTGGGAAGAACGAATCACCTGCTTTTATCTTGCTACATATTGAGTGTTTGATATGACACAGACCACATAGGAAATGCCATGTGCAACAGTTCTGTTGCTGTGTGTGTATTTGTTTTAAGGTAACATGTTTAGCAAGCCATTGCCTATCAATGGCCATCTCTTTTGGCTCTACTATTCCAGCTTTCAGGCACTGGATATACACACACAGCAGGGTGATCTCATAATCTTTATGGTTTGCATCCTGTTACATATTTGATAAACAAGTGAATGAGCCTGTCAACACAATATAAATATCTTCAAATGAAGATGAAAATTGATACTGTCATATCACTATTATTTATTATGCATATGTTTCAAAATGGTGATAACAGCTTTTAACAGCGGAGATTCTTCAGTTTTCATGCTCCCTTTGTTGCCTGCTGGCTAATACACTTCACAACTCACTCATTGCTTCACCTGACTAACTCCCAGGCTGGTGGCCATCTCACTCCAACCTGTCTTCGCTTAACAGACTCTATTTTAACTAACTAACATCTTGGCATGGACCATGTAGAAAACACTGTTTTCAGCAGTCATCTGTTGTTGCCGTTCAACCTGTTCATTTCATAGTCACTCCCTAGTAATCGGTCTGCACACTACAGTATTTTCCTCCCACCTGCATCTAGCTCTTCCTAATGGACTCTGTTCTTCTGGCTTTGCTGCCAAAACGATATATGCATCCCTTTTCTTCCCATGCATGCTGCATGCCCTGCCTTCATCGTCCTTGACTTTATAATTCTAATTATATTTGGCAAAGAGTACATGTTATGATCTCATTATTCAATTTTCTCCAGTCTCCTGTTATTTCATCCATCTTCAGTCCAGATATTTTATGCAGCACCCTGTTTTCAAACACTTGCAGTGTGTGTGTTCTTCCCTTAATTTTAGAGACCAAGTTTCATGCCCACACAAACCTGCAGGCAAAATTATAGTTTTGATATTTTAATTTTACCTTTTTTAGACAGTAGGTACCAAGCGTTACCCAGATCCAGTATGTTCTCAATTCCCCCATCAGTCGTATTTTTATTTGTTACTGTAATTCCCAAAAGTATGAACTTTGTCACATTTTTGAAGGATCTACTTTCTATCTTTATGTTGTGATTTTGCCCTGCGAACATATGCTTATTTTCGTCTGTATGTTTACTTCAAGACGAAACTCCTTACTAGTGTCAGCTAGAGTCTTAGTCTGTTTCTTTTATCTTACCTTCCAGTAGATTTACATCATCTGCAGAGACCAGAAGCTGATGTGTCCTATTCAGTTTGAACCCCACCTGCTTTTTATCTTCCTAATTTATATTCCAAAGCAAAGTTTAAAAGCAATGGTGAAAAAGCATCTTCTTGTTTTAGACCATTTTGAACAGGAAATATATCGGACAAATGCTTACCTGCACAGACTTTACTGTAGAATTCCTGTATTCTCTCTGTACTGACTGGTGAAATTGTGTTTTTGAGTGACCAGATCCTCCTGACCTAGGACATGTGGGTTTGTCAGCCTTTAGCTGTACCTCAGTTTGATAGAATAACAAGGGCTACATGTAGCTTCAGTTGGCTGACATTTTAGAAACTAATGCAGTATAATCTTATGCCTGGATTGACTATAATTAAAATGTTTGTATTTTCTTTATTGCAGAATATAATGTATTACAACCACCACCATTAAATGAGAAAGTATTAAAAGATAAACGTAAGAAACTGAAAGAAACCCTTGAACGAGTGATGACAATGTATGTAAGTATGACAGAATTTTGGATTTGCTGTTATGTAATACAAATAGGCAACAGATTCTATATAATTAATGATGCTGACAGTACTCAGAGTTATTAATTAATAATGTGATTGCTAATATCTGTTAAAAGTTGTTTTATAAACTTCTTTAACCTTTAATGTGTCTCAGTATTTGTATATCTGTTATGCATTTCTGCAGCAGTGTTTGTGACTTGAGAGCATGTTGTAATAGGATAATCTTGCAGAAAACTAATGCTAAAAATGCCAGAGAAATATGTGAAAAATGTAAATATAAAAGGTAACATTGATAAAAGTACATTGATCTTATTTTGTTAGATCCCTTATGGCATTTGCTGCTTACACTAATTAAGACACAAGGTAAAATGTGTGTGTGGCCAAATAGAAGAGGTAGTGCTGAGTCACATATCTAGTGGCATAGCAGTAAGGATCCTATGATATTGCGTCGGCAAACATTGTGGAAATTAACAATTAATATTTCCCAAGAGAGCTCTAGTTCTGCTCCCACAACCTTGCCCACAGTCTTGCTTTTCCTCCCCACTCGTAATGGACTTTTGTGTTTCATAAAATACTAGGAAATTCTTGAGTAGCTGCAGATTTGGCAGCTCCTCAAGAAGGGCTTAGTTCCATAAGTAAGTAAGTATTACATTTATATACTTTACTTACTTACTCATGGAGCTGAGCCCTTCTGGAGGAGCCGCCAATTCTGCAGCTACTTAAGAAAATCCCAGCATTTCATGGAACCCAAAGGTTCATTACTGTGTTCACAAGAGCCCTCCACTGGTCCCTATCCTGAGCCAGATCTATCCGATCCATACCATCCCATCCTATCTCTCTAGGATCCATTTTAATATTGTTCACCCACATATGCCTTGGTCTTCCTAGTGGTCTCTTTCCTTCTGGCTTTCCCATCAATATCCTATATGCATTCCTTGTCTCCCCCAATTCGTGCTACATGCCCTGCCAATCTCATTCTCCTTGACTTGATCATTCTACTTATGCTTGGAGAAGAGTACAAGTTATGAAGCTCCTCATTATGCAGTTTTCTCTGACCTCCTGTCACTTCATCCCTCTTTGGTCCAGATATTCTCCTCAACACCCTGTTGTCAAACACCCTCAGTCTATGTTCCTCTCTTAATGTCAGAGACCAAGTTACACACCCATACAGAACCACAGGCAAAATTATAGTTTTGTATATTCTAATTTTTATGTTTTTGGACAGCAGGTGAGAAGACAAAAGGTTCTGAACTGAATGGTAGCAAGCATTACCCAAGTTCAATCGCCTCTTAATTTCCTCCTCAATCAGGTTTTGATTTCTTATCGTTGTTCCCAAATATCTGAACTGTGCCACATTTTCAAAACATCTGTTTCCTATCTTTATGTCATGATTTTGTCCTGCATTTTGGTGATGGGACAGCAACATATACTTAGTTTTCTCTATGCTTATTTGTAGACCAACCTCTTTACCTGCGTCAGTTATAGTTTGAGTTTTTCTTTATGGTATCTACATTATCACCTAGAGATCTTTAAATCTGATAGAGCTACAGCTTTGTTTAATTATAATCATCAAGAATAAGAGAGTTGTTTACAACTTTTATTGGTAACATTCTTCATTCTGATAAATATTTGTTGAGTTTCATTCATGATATGCCTACAAACGCATGTAAGTCATCAAATGTCTGTTATTTTTGTCTGATTTTATCAAAAATCAGAATATGGCAACAGATTTTAATAAAACTTCCCATTGTCAAATTTTATGAAAATCAGTTCGTTGTTTCTTGAATTATTTCACGTTTACACACAGATTGATTGAGGAAATTTAATATGTGCGTTCCATGGTTGCAATTGTGCCTGAAGCAGGAGATTTGAGGCTGTCATAGCAGTAACCATGAGCATTACTGTCTTCTTGGGTGCTATTGTATATAGTTTGGAAGACCGGTTCTGACATTTTGCAGGAGCCTGCTGCTACTCTTTTATATTGAAGCGGGAGATGGTGAGGTCCTCTGAAACTTCCAGCATCACATTCTAGAAGACAGTAACTTCATAAAAAACTGATGTTCATGAACTGTGTCAAGAACATAATATAGTAGTTCAGTGTTAGTCACTTACTGCATATATCAGAACTATTTGATATTTCTTGGTTAGTAAACCATTGTCATTTAATGTTGTACCACAGGACAAGGATGATCCTGAAAAATGGGCAGAGCTGAAACGTATGGAAGTGGAATATGAGAAACGTCGCATTGCCATGGTAACGTATGCTGAGTCAGTTCGTCATGCACAGCAAGTTCAGGTTGATGACATACCGCTACCAACTCTTCAGCTTCCGAATGATCCCACTGCCTTCATGGGACTACCTTCTCAAATTCCTTTGCCAACTGATCTCCCTGTACCCTTATCCAGCATTGTTCCCCATCCACTGATTTCATTACCTGTCCCTCCAGGCCTTGCGTTACCTCCACCTCACAGTATTCTGAAGAAGACATCAGCTTATGCAACAGTACCAGCCAAACCCAAGAAGCCACCAGGTGTACCACCAGGACCTCCCCCAGAACTAAGTGACGATGATGATGAAGAACCCATGGATCAAGACGGTATGAAGTATTGTAACTTAATGCTTGGAGCTCATGGAGCTTCCACGTCATCTTTTCCACACTTCAGAACCTTCATGGTCTCGCTACAGGGCAACATATATCATATTTTTATCATACATATGGAATATACATGTTCGATTCTCCTTATTTTAATAATATCCATATGTTGAGCAAAACTGGAACAAGAGAATTTCTGTTAATAAGTAGCGGGTGTTAACCAGAAACCAGCATTTCTGGCAACCAGTTGTATAATTCATCTGGGTACCCTGAAGATGGAAGTAATCTGTATCTCCAAAATTTTCATAATCACCTATCAGACCTCGCTGTAACACCAAATACCGTAACCTAAGTAATTCACATAACACTGAGCAGGTTGGTATAGTGATGTAGACTTCTTTTTGGAATGTCTCGAATCTTGGCCAGGGCACTGGTTCTTTTGTCTGAGGTTTTTCATGGTTTTGCTCAGTGCATCCAGGAAAGTGCTGGGGTAGTACCTTGATTACACCATGGCCACTTCCTTCCAAGTCTTTTTCCAGTTCACTATTTACCATTCCTACTGTTCAACATTGTAGTCTATCTGCTGACTTCATCATAAAGTGAACAGTAGGTTCACGTAACCATCTTTCACTTTGTATAAATGATCATGTGTTACATATAGTACTGTACCCTAAATAGTGTTCATTATATTCCTCTCAACACAACTGCTGACTGGAACATAATGTTATGTACAATGATTTACTTCATTTTACCTTTGGGTTCCATAACTACAGAGAACAGTTTCACTGCTACACAGTCTCCAAAGCAGGAACATCCCTTCACATACATACATCCATATACGTGCACAAGGTAACTGATTTAAGCAGTAAAATATTACTTGTAAGGATCGATGTGAAACCTCTGAGTAATGAATTTTTGTAAGGGTGACTAATAAGTTTGACAAATTTTAAAGCATATTCCTTACATTAATAATGTTATATTTTAGCGTCCTGTTGCACTGGTTCATGTCCATGATGTGTATTTATGCTAACCATTTTACAGTGCACACTTTATTTCATTTCACCTTTCTCTTCACTTTTAGACTACATGTTTCAGCACTAATGTGCCATCTTCAGGTGTGTCTCTATGCATGTCAAACTACTGCACTGCATGTCATGACGTCGTCATTCTAAAATGACTAAAATGTGTATTCGTCATGTATAACAATAAATTCTAAATATTAAAACCTTTCAGGATTCGTCATCCATACGTTGTATCTCAAATACGCGAATCACACCAATCCTCCTCTATGGGAGCACTCTTCCTACATTCATGTGTGTATTGTGCTCTCTGTTGTGTCTTGCTCCTGTGACTGCGTGCGTTGTACTCCTTACGTTGCTTTTCACATTTTCCTACCTACAGAGTATATTTAAAATTGTATGAACTTTGAGATAGAGTTTCCTCCTGACACAGAAATGAAATAGAGGCACAATATTTTAACTTCTCCAACGAGATGAATTGCAGGATGTTTCAAAATAATTTTCATGTTCCTTCCCTCTCACCTTCCACTTGAAACTGAAAACAATGTATATACATTTTTAGGTATTTCTTACAAAGTAAAGAAAGGGTGCCTTAAGTGGAGGTCTTTTCTGTCTGTCTATGACCTAGTATAAACACCTAAACTGCTGGACAGGTTATTTTTTTTTTTTTTATATATTTGATATGGGACACTACCACAAAATTTGTCAGGATATTCCAGTTTTGGTTAAAGTCAGGCAAAAATAACAGATACTTTGCATGAAAACCTCCAAGTGTTTCTCTGCATGTCATGAAAACAGTTCTCTAAATATTTACTGAAGCAAAACGGTTTTCAGGCAGATGTTGTATAGAAAGGTGTAACACATTTTTTTGCTCACTATACATTTTCATAAGTCTTACAGAGTTCAATATGTTTAAAATAAGAACTGTTGCTATTAACTCTTAACTCAAGAACTGCTAGACTGATTGTGTAACATTTTGTTTTGGAAGTCCTTGCACAAATTTGTTGAAGTCCATGCCTGTCTGTGAATTGTGTCAGTGCACAAACAGTTGAACATATTTCTTTAAAATTTGGTATGAGAGACTTGCCGGGCTCTGCCGAGTCAAGGGTCAGTTTCTCAAAGTGTACAACACAACTCTGTGGCTCCAGTATTTTGATGACACATTCATGGTCTGGCCTCTTGGCCCACTGTGGTTACAGAATTTCTTCAGCCTCAGAAATTTAAGGTCTTCATTCCAATTCACTCTGAAAATGAAGTCAGACAGTGTGATTCCTTTTCTGAATGGTCTGGTCATCAGGAAATGGATGACACTGGTCACCAAAGTTTACAGAAAACCCACCCACACTGGCTGATACATCAGCTTCAAATCAAACAATATGCCGCATGTGAAAAGAGGTTTAATTCAGTCTTCACTACAGAGCTTCTTCTGTATGCCAAGAACAAAAAATTAATGGTCAGAGACGTGATCTTCAGCTGAGTGGTTATCACCAAGATTTCACTGACCTGGTCATTAATTCCAAGAGCAGCAGTTGTCTGAATAAAGTGGAAAAGCTTCTGGCCTCTGTGTGTATCCCATATGTGTTCAAATGTATAGAGAACTGATATAACATTAGGACAATCTTCGAAACTAAATACAGTGTTAGGAGTTCACTTACGAAAACCAGGCCAGAATGAGATCCGCAACAGATGGCACAGGGCATATATGGCATTCCCTGTGAATGGGCAGAAGCTACTTTGGTGAAACAGGCAGACCTCTAGCCAGGTGGCTGCAGGAACATAGGCACTATTTCAAAGACAGTCTTCTAGGAAATTAAAAATTAGTCCAACATGCCGATGAAGATTATCATAGGATAGGCTTGGATGAAGCTACGATTTTGGAAATTGAAAGTAACAGCAGGTATAGGAAATACAATAAATCGGCCTTTATGGCATGCTTAACCAATCAAATGAGCCAGCCCAGATTGGACAGTTTTCCGCCCCTAGATCCCCTTTAACAGCATTGAGGTTACCAACTCACAGAGAAAATCTGTATGATGTGACAGATTCTTCATGGGTTTCTCTAAGGTTTAGTGCTAAATGTCCAGTATTTACTCCACAGGTAGCAGTAGGCACAAAATGTTTTTGCAAAATTCTTCATTTAATTCTGTGCATTGGTTTTCATGGACTTGGTTTGCTGGCTAGGTTTGTTGCTTAAAATTTTCACCTCCCTTTCTCTCTTAGTTTCAAGTCTGTGCAAAGCTTTATCACAATTTATATTGCATATTTTCCTGTTTACTCCCTTCTGGTCTCTGGGATTATATAGCTATAGTTATACTGATAGGGGTTGTCTGGTGATTGATGTTACTTGATTCTACGGTACACAGTAAAGTAAGTGTCTCTCCCCTCACGTAGGGATGGAAACATCCAGTTTCTGAAACCTTGTGTTGTCGAGTTTTCAGAATACTGGACAATGGATAAAGTCCACAAATGCAGTAATTCTGGAGATAACATAATTCCTTTTTCATTTGTATGTTTGGTCATAATTTGTACTCTTCTCCAAGTAAAATTAGAATGATCAAGTCAAGGAGGATGAGGTGGGCAGGTCATGTAGCACGAATTGGGGAGACGAATGTGTATAGGATATTGGTGGGAAAGCCAGAAGGAAAGAGACAACAGGGAAGACGAAGGCGTAGGTGGTAGAATGGATCTTAGAGAGATAGGATGGGATGGTATGGATTGGATAGATCTGGCTCAGGATAGGGACCAGTGGAGGGCTCTTGTGAACACAGTGATGAAACTTCGGGTTCCATAAAATGCTGGGAAATTCTCGAGTAGCTGTAGAATTGGCGGCTCCTCCAGAAGGGCTCCGCTCCATGAGTAAGTAAGTATGTTTGGTCATGCAGATTTTGTGCTTAGTTCTGTCTCTTTAATGCTGCCTTGTTCACTTTTTGTGTCAGAGATGGGTGATAATGATTGTTAAGCTCCTGCAGTCTTTGTAAAGCAGATATATGGGTGTTGAACTGCATGTTCATGTGAAGTGAAGTCTTCATTCACTTCACTGGAAAATAAAATTTTTGAGTAATGAACTTAAGGAAACCTTTGTTGGAAGAAATTTAACAGTGAGATCATTATGATGGGACTGTACAAATTGAACACCAAATGGAAGAAAAATCTTAAATTGAACATAAAATGGGGAGCCATTTGGGGGCATGTGGTAGTGTAGTTGGTTGAGACACTGTACTACAAGGCAGAAGGTTGTGGGTCCCGATGAGGTCATTGGATTTTTCAGTTGACTTAATCCTTCCAGCTCCACTATGGCCCTGGGGTTGACTCAGCCTCCTAACAATAGAAATGAGCACCAGGAATCTTCCTGGGGCTAAAGGGTGGCTGGCATGTCAGGCTGGCAGCCTCTAACAACCCTGTGGGCCTCCACAGCCAGTCAAGCTTTACCTTTTTACTTTCACCTTTATATGAGGCTCCATTGTATATTTCTTTTCACTTCAAATACAAATCCAGATTTTCCCTGTTTATTTAAATTGACATTAAGCTGAAGTAATCTTACAGGTGAAGGTCATCAGGCATCTTCTGATAAACACACACCTGCTGCATCATCAGATATACAGGAAAAGCTCTCATCAGTGGCAGGTTTACCACCTCGTCAACGAGTAATCAGGTTTGCTGATGATGAAGTTCCTGAAGCTGTTCCGGAGCAGACCCCTACTGAAGCTGCTGTATCAGCATCTTCAGTGCCATCAGCTGCGCCAGTATTGACCTCGTCTCCGGCAACAGTGTCCACATCAAAACTTCCAGATTCAAGAAGAGACAAAGAAGAAGAAAGCTTAAGCACTGAGACTGTACCAGTGCCCACCCCAAAACCAACAACTCTTCAGCAGAAAATGCTTGCAATGGCTGGACAGGATATTGATCAGTTTATGCGTGAGGTCAGTTGTGTTATGTCTCATATCTTGATACTGACAAATACTTAATTCACAGTATAAGTGTGTTTGAAGAATGCCATCTTCTGGGATGTGCTACCACATCCCAAAAGTCGACATTCTTCATAGTCATCCCTGTGAAAACCTCAAATCCTACATAAGTATGTCTGTTGAACATCTACATTGTTTGAAGCTATGTATATCTGCAGTATTTCAGAGGCTGTCCTTATTTGTCTGTTGGTAATAGCAAAAGAGAGGGGAGCATGATAACATGGGCTGTTTATTTAATGAATGTGACTTCTAGCTCATCTTGCTCTCTGTGTGTCTGCATGTGTATGCCTCTCTAATGATTTCTGAATGCCTTAATCAATCTTTATGAAACTTGATAGGTATATCATACCATTTGAGCCCATCTAAAGCCCTACCACCAGTAATACCAGCACTGCAGCCTCTCATTGTTTTACCAACTTGTTTCTCGCTCATGCCAATTTTATTTTTTTCTGCCTTACCAAGTACTTGAGTTGTAGTGAAGGGAAAGTGGGTGATTAGTACTTTCCAGTGGCATAGCCAGTATAGCAACTGGATGACCAGGGGGTCAGAGTTCAAATTCCGGTAGGTTCAAGAGTACCCATGGCGTACTTGCTGAACCCATATTCTTACGGGTACAATCTCCAGACTACGTGAGCATTATGAACTACAAGACAGGCCTCTTGCTGTGTTTTTTTTATTGCTAGTGGGGTGGGACTAAGTCCCCTGTACTGTGACCACTTCTGGCCTATTGTACCAACCCCAGTTGATAGGTGAGCGTGATTGTGGAGCAATTGGTTGAATGAAGGTTGGCAGGGGAATCGAAGTACTCAGAGAAAACCTGCCCCAGCGCCACTTTGTCCACCACAAATCGCACTTGACCAGACCCGGGATCGAACCCGGGCTGCCGCGGTGGGAAGCCAGTGACTAACTGCTTCAGCTATGGCTCGGCCTTGCCTCTTGCTGTGTTTGTATGCCACCTATGAAGGAATGTATGAACTACTGCATCTAGTAGCAGGAATATTCTACTCCACGTGTCACCTGACCAGGCAGTCTGATGGATAGTAAGTACATCTAGATCAAAAACAATCTTTAATCATGTAATGTTCAATTTGGTATTAAAATTACTATTAAAATTTTGACTTAATTTCTCTTTATTTTTGTGAGCATTACAAAATTAATTCAGCACAAGTTGCATTAAACTTTGTTTACTCAGCAGTGAAAGAGTTAACATGAAAATGGAGGTAGAGGTAGCCTCTGAAACATTGTTGACATATAATCTCATGTACAATCTAAGTCAGTCATTGAATAAATCATGAATTAATTAATTAACCTAGGGAATTGACAGTATCCATGATGCTGCCTTGTATTATGATACCAAACTTATGGAATTAATTTGCTTAGTTATTTCATATTACATCATTCTCCTGTTAGAACCGAAATTATAGCCATCCTTCTGTTGGATATGATCATCTGAGCAATCAGAATTAACCAGACAGTGTCTTGCATTAGATGCATCCTATGTAATGTTAACATTTATAATATATCTGAAAAGGAATGCTTAGCAATTCTATATGAAATTCACATCCGCTGTGCAACCCCCAGCTTCCTGTTATTTTAAATACAGTAGGCACACAACATACTTCGACTTAGATTATGTCCCCCTGTATGTTTACTTGCATTTTATATTGTAGCGTGTAGAGCCGTTGCTAGGTAGTAGTGACCTCAAAAAGAGACAGTGAAACAACATTGACTGCTAGGCAACAGATTTTTATTAAACAAATGTATGCAACCATTGCTGGGTGATTCCTTCGTGGACAGGCACATACCCTTGGAGATGATTTGGATAATAGGAGAAGAACTGTGTCTTCTGTGTGGACTGTACTGAGAGGTTAAGAGTGATACAAAGTTTACAGCCTAGTCAGACTAGGAAGTTGGTGTGAAATGGCTGCAAGCCAGTTGCAGAAGTGCTCAGTTGGAAGGGACCTGCCATGCAGAGAGGACTTCAGCCTGGAAGCAGAGGAATAGCCACTGTTAGAAGCCGTTATCTGTAAACTACTGGCGGAAACTAACAAATTGAGGACACTAGCCTGTGTGCTGTAGTGAAGTGTTGAGATCATCAATGGCACTTACGAGTTGTGTGTTAAAATGGTCAGTAAACCCAATATCTGATCCAAAACCCTGTCAGGAAGCACTCATACACATGAAAATATAGTACAATTTTCCGTGAAGTGCTTTAGTGACTGTATAAGACTGTATGGCAACATTTTTTGCCGGAGTTTGCAGGAACAGAAGGTTAAGTGCATAGTCCACTGTGAATATACTGTATGTTTCTGGTTTCCCTAATCTTGGAATTATTTTTTCAAACAGCGCCCCTTTTACCTGTTTCGCTAGTCTGAAATGCACCTTAAATGCCATGTACATAATTTAGTCACTGCATAAATACTGTATACATAACGACAGTGATTCCAAAATTGTATAAATGTCACTTTCTCTTAAAATGTTATATAAACATTCGTTTATTGGCAAAGACATTCTGCTACATGTTCCGACCTTCAAGATATCATCAGGCATACTTACAAGAATTCAGTCATCAGGCGTACATAAGAATTCAGTCTTAGGTCCTTAATTGTATTTTAATATGTATCCATATTATTAAAATTTGTTTTATTTTTGATAGCAAATATTACCTTATTGTAAAATAAATCTAATAAATACACACTGAAAATACTCTAATAATATAGTTTTTAATTCTGTTTAGATATTAAGACATAACATTTTTATATAGTTTGGATTTTAATATTACATAGCTATTAATATACTTGTGTCCTTGAGGATAAAAATTAAAAACTAAAGATTTTTTTTAAATTTTCCAAATTTTCATATTAATTAATTGCTGGAGTTACACTTGATATATAGAATTAGTTCTAAGATGAGCTTAAAGTTAGGAGTATTTTTGGGATCTTCAGGTTTTGTTGTGGTTGTAAGTTGATAAGTTGCAGGTTGACACAACATGAAGGGGTCCATCTCAGAAACACTGTAACTCTGATTTACTTCTTTCATTGTGTAAGTTTTGCTTGGCAGTTTTTCTGTCTTGTGTCATCCTCAGCTAGTTTTGTTCTTATAAGTCAAGAGTTTGATGCTTATAAGTATGTGTATGCAAAGGGATCCCCATTGTTGTTATGTTGTTTGCATTGTGACTCTGCTTAAATAAATATTTTATACGTAAAAAATTACATTTAATAGATAAAAGGGTTGAGTCTGGACATTTGGGTATTACATGTAAGAGTGTACAGCATGACAGAACTTAAGTTTTTAATGTTTTAGGATATTGTACGTTGTCCATACAGGGCATACCAAGAATGTGGCAGTGAACCGTATGAAGTGTTGTCTGCTAGCTTTCCTTTTAACCATTTTTCTCCTCCAGTGTTTACATTTTTATGTGGATCATCTCTACCTTCCTGAAGCTCCTCTTCCCCGGTTTCCTCCTTAGTGATTATATTGGAATTGTAATACACTTACGTGATTTACCATTAGAAATTATGGATGTAGTTGAGACACTGGGATATTGGAATTAAAATTTTTACATGTATAAGCATGAGTGTAATCACAGTTTTACTTTTAAAGATATTTTGACGTTGTTGATCTTGCTACAGATAAACAAGTTCTGGGAAGAACTAATCATCTACTTTCCTTTCACGTCATACAGAGTATTTGGTACTACACAGACTCAATAGAAAACACCGCATGCTTACCGAGCCTTTGCCTAGCAACGGCCTTCTCTTCTAGCCTCACTACTCCAGCTTTCAGGCATCATGTCACATTGTTCCCTCTTTAGGGCTGATATCATGAGCAGTTGTTAGAGGAGCACACACAAACACACAGACAACAAGGCGATGTAAGCCTCATTTTAATTTTTTTTTAATAAGGAAAGTAGCCTAAAACATGAAAACCCTTGTTTCCAAAATCCATCATTTTAATGTATGACAGGAAGTCTGCAAATTTTAAATAGATGCCATGACTTAAGTTTGAACTTCACTACACAGTACTTGGTTTATCTACTGAGGCCTTCTCAGCCACATAGATTGTGAAGCATCAGATGAGAAAAGACTGGGCATAAGAGGAAGTGCTTGTGACTTATTTTGAGGTACTGCTTAGAGGAACTAACAGAAGTCCCAAAGAATTTCGGTCAGTGTAGGTCGTTTTCCATCAGAAATTCAGACGGGGATGTTCGGTATTGCTTCTTGCTGAGAAAGAATTAGAGAATGTGTTGTCACATCAAAGTGGTGTGATGGTTGATGATATCAACTTTATTTTTTTCATTTACAGATGGAAGAAGTCCATAGGAAACGAGAACAAGATCGTGCAGCAGATCTGAGTGCAAGACTATCCCTGCTTGACAGTGAAAGTAACAATGATGCCACAGCAGTTGTCTCAAAACACAGCAGCAGTGCTTCAAACGTAAATACTTCTGGTACCAATCAGTCACAGGAGAAAGATGGTGATGATTCTCAAAACCTACAGCCACCTGGAACTAGTACAACAGATTTAACTCTCCCACCACCTACTGCTGTGCCTGTTCAATCACAATTGTCCATTGTTGACAATGCTTCAGTCCCTTCGTTATCAGCTATTACTCCTCCAGTTCACCCACCAGGACTACCATCAGTTCCTCCACTTGGTATGACACCGATGATGTTCAGGCCACCACCACTTCGTCCAGGAGTTCCACCACCACTTGGAATCAGACTTCCGCCAGGACCACCACCTGGTAGACCTGGACTTCCTCCGGGACCACCACCAGGCCTGCCACCAAGACTTGGAATGAGATTACCCCCTGGACCTCCACCAGGTACGTTGAAATTTATTTTGTAAAAGGGAACATATTCCAAGCAAATGATGGACAGATAGTTATCCTGTTTATATGCAGGAGAGTCAGTAAATAGGTCACAAATGGAAATAAAATAGCTGTAATGAATATAATAGGTTTTCTATATGTATCACTACGTAGCAGGACAATCCAGCTTAATGATAGCCTAGGTAGCAGATGTGCATGCGTGTGTTAACAGGCAGGTTTCAGTAGTCAAAATGGCGACCGTGTTTAGGTGTATACTACCGAAGAGCAGCATTCTGTTGTGCATTTTTTGTGGACAAACATAATCAAAGGAAATGATTTTCATAAAGAAATGTTCCCTGTTTATGGTGGGAAGTGTTTCTTGCATGAAGCAGTTCATAACTAGGTCAAGAAATGTAGCATATGTTTCGCTGGTGATGAAGAGTTTGAAACAGGGATACAGAAGTGGCTGAGACAACAGTCAAAGGACTTCCATGCTGCAGGTTTCAGTGTACTGGTAAAGTGATGGGACAAATGTATCTGTGTTGGTGTACAATATGTCTAAAAATGAATGTTTTTCCCAGGTCCTAATATTACACGCTTTTACTCTTCATATCCATTTGTGACCTGTTTACTGACTCTCCCTTTTATTATGGTGTTTGGACCTTCAAGCTGAACAGGCTTCTTGATCCCTGAGCCCTGTTCAGTATGCAGGTATCCCTGAGTTACACGGTTTCACAACATCCAAATTTTGCCTTAGTGCAATTTTATACAAATTCTTTTTTGTTTAAGTTTTTGGCACTTACTAAAAAATTATAAAATTATTTAATTATGAAGAAAGCAGCCTTCTGAGATGCGGCACCGTGTAGATGTGGTGTTAATTCACATTTCGGTAGAACGTATCACCTCCATCTTCAGGGCGATGGAGACGATACGTTCCTCCGAAACGTCGGTTAACACCACATCTACATGGTGCCACATCCCAGAAGACTGCTTTCTTCATAGTCACCGCTGTGAAAACCTCAAATCTTACTTATTTAAGTATGTTCAGTTTCACAACCACCACATACAAGACACAACACCTCTCCAAAATTCAGGGAACACAAACAAGAAGAAGACCCAGTCATACCTACAGGCCAACAATACAAGACCAGGAAGAACCCCAAAGAAAGGCATTGGTATAAGAGACACATCTACATGTGGTTGCTACATCCAGATAAAACTATAAGAAAACCTTCTGTATACCTAAAATTTTAATGATTTAGTATTTTAACAAATCATATTTAAATATTAAAGCCAAATTATATATATATATATAAGTGCATTAAATACTACATAAACAACCTGTATTCCAATATGTAAATGCTTGCCAAAGTAGGTGTACTAACAGTTGAATACAGATGAACATAAAAAAGTCGAATACTTGATGATGGCTTAATGAGCCAAAACATGTTGTAAGAAATGACGATTGTATGGTGTGTCCATGCTGCCTCTTGTGGTAACGGAATAAATAGCCAGTTGCTATACCGACTGTGCTGTCCTGAGGTAGTTGGTTGAAGCATTATGCTACAAGCTGGAAGGTCGCATGTTTGAGTCCCGATGAGGTGGACTTTTTCAATTTACCTAATCCTTCCAGCGACACTATGGCCCTGGGGGCTGACTCAGCCTCTAACAAAAATGAGTACCAGGAATCTTCCAGGGGGGAAAGAGTGGCCAGCACATAATGCTGACAACCTTACCACCATCTGTGAGCCGATTGACTAGAAAAAGTGAGAGCCCCGATATCTGACAACCCTATGGGCCTTCATGGCCTGCTACAGGGATTTTTCTTGGACCCATTTTAATATTATCCCCCCCACCAATGGCTCTGTATTCCTAGTAGTTTTTTCCTTCTGGCTTTCCCACCAAAGCCCGGTATGCATTTATCTTCTGCCCCATAAAACTTATAAACTTTAACATTAGTTATGAATTTTGATGTTTAGGTATGCCACCTCGTCTGCTGCGGCCACCTGGCCCCCCACCACGCCTGCCTGCAGGGATTCCTTTGCCAGGTTTACCACTACCAACATCCATCAATCAAGTTACAAGTGGTCAAACGTCACTCAGTTCTATTCCAATACCTCCAGGCCCCTCTGCTTCTGTTACAAGTAATCCTAACGTTCTGAGTGCTGCACCCCAACTGATCAACCGAGCCCGAGCAGATGGTGCCATAGCAGATGGCAAGAAACAGCATGGTGCCACTATTGAAGCTAAGCCACAGATCAGGTATGTTTTTTTAAATAATTTGTCTTTCTGCTTATAAATATAGGAACAATTTGATATCTGTTGCTGTCGGCACTGAATTAGCATTAACACGTTTTGTAAGGAATGTACTGTGATTTTCACTTTCTTGACACAATACATGACCAGGGACAACATTCCACTTGGAGACCCCCACCCTTCGGTCTGGATATTTTATGATAAATTGTAGTGAGGAATACATGTCCATTAATAATGGTTAGTACTTTATTTTATTCCTGTTGCTCCTGCTTGAAGCATAGGGTACCCATGAAATGCTTTGTTTCACTTCAGTTTTATAATCTTAGGCAGTCGGTAGGACTCCTTGGACGAATGATTAACCCATCACAAGGTCGCTACCTACATACAAACACAGAATAAACACAGATGAACATCCATGCCTTGAGTGGGATTTGAACCCATGAACCCTGTGTTCGAATGCACAAAGACATTTCATGTCTTCGATTGTGGAGCAATTGGTGGAATGAAGATTGGCAGGGGAAACTGAAGTACTTGGAGAAAACCTGCCCCAGCGCCACTTTGTCCACCACAGATCCCACTTGACCAGACCCGGGATCGAACCCGGGCTGCCGCGGTGGGAAGCCAGCGACTAACCGCTTCAGCTCTGATTTTCATATAACTCATTTACGTCCACGTGAGTATTGACAATTCTGCACAAGATGGTGGATTAGAAATTGATGCTGAAGTACTGCAAGTGAAATTATTTTCCATCAATGATCTGTTTAATTTTATGCCTCGTTTTTTTGTCTTGCAGAAACCTAAGTGCAGATGTTACTAGGTTTCTACCAACTGCCCTCCGTGTGAAGAGGGAAGATAAAAAGAAGAAAGACGTAAAAACTACTTCGCTCTCAGGTGAGTTAATTCATGTATATAAGATAAAGGTAAAGTGGTTCCTGTGTTGAAGCACCACACCATTAAAACAGAGGAATGGAGGGGAAGTTTCACCCTTCATCTACTTTTATTCCTGGAAAAGAGCTTGTGGTACCCACATTACACCAGAGCAGTCTAGACATGGTGGGAAAAACAGAAATGTTGCAACTACAAAAATAGTTTCAAAATTAAAAACCTGCACANTTTAAATATCCAGAATAAATAACCATTAATGCCACACCCTGGCCATGCCATAACTCAAGCAGTTAGTCACTGGCTTCCCTGCCAATCTTCATTCCACCAGTTGCTCCACAATCACCCTCACCTATCATCTGGGGCTGCTACAATAGGCCAGAAGTGGCCGCAGTACAAGGGACTTAGTCCCACCCCACTAGCGATAAAAAAAAAATGTCACACCCTGATGTTTATACTGACTGGGAAAAGGGTTACGGTGTGTTATATGTGATAAAGTTTGATAGACATGTATTGAGACCTTGTTCTGTGCATCTTTAAATTAATATCTTATCCAGTGAAGGGTGGAATATTTTTCATAACATTTATTTTAAAATGGATACAGCAGAAACCCAAATTTAAAAAGAAGAATGGTTTTGTAATTGATGTAATAAAAATTAACTTGTGAATGAGGAGTCAGGACACTAGCAGTGCAGTGGAAGCTGCATTATCCAACACATCTGTGACAGAAGGGTTATCAGATATCATAATTTTCCATATATTAGGACCTTATACCTAATGCATATTTTAGTGTACCTTGCAACCTCATGGACAGACCTAACCATTTACTTTGTCATTTGATATCCTGCCCTGCTTTCCCTGCTACACTTTGTAGTCCCTTTTCATCACTACTTATGTAACAAAACACAAATATTTAATGTTTTTAGCACAGATTAGTCAATTTCTGGATAATAAAGCTTTCCAGATCCATCCAGTGTTAGATATCTTTAGCTTTTACTGCATTAAGAGATTAAAAGTGGGTGAAACACAGATATCTTCATGTAGAAACTATTCTCTTCTCATTTAGCTGGATGGCAGAACATTTTCTTCTCTGTGTTGAGAATTCTGTGTCACTAAGATTGAGGTAGATGAATTAATCCTTAAGATTCTCTCTGTATCACTTGATCTGTTGTAAGCTAGGTAGGATACTTGAAAGACACAGTTTTCAATGTTAACTCATAGTAGTTTATTATTCTTTAATGTGTCTATATTTCTCCATGTTTAGAACCAAGGACAGAGAATTTGGTTCCAAAACCATCACCTGCAACTAGTCAGCAGACAAAGGATGATGCTTATATGCAGTTCATGAGAGAAATGGAGGGTTTATTGTAAAGCACAAGTAAGTATTGTGCTGTTTTATGTGTGATGTAAGGAAGCTCAGAGGAACAACATGCCATATATATATATATTTAATCACTTCAGCCTTATAGGAGATTCTGTGCTCAGTATGCTCTGTCATGTTGTAACTAATGAGAATTAAACATTTGCAGTGGCTTCCTGTGTCAAATTCACTTAAGTTGTAATCACCATATTGATTTGTTAAACTGGGTCAATAAATGATTAATATCTTGTAACCTCTTCATTCAACTCATTGGCAACTTAAATTTCCCCAATTTCTTGCATTTGTCAAAGAAAGTTAACCTAATTCTGTTATCTTACTATATCCCTTATAAGTATAATTATATGACACTGATGCATCAACTATTTACAGACACTCTGAATTCTAAAGGGTTCATACAGTGGTGTATAACACTCAGGATTACAGGGTTTTTGGACTTTGTATATTGTCTGGTATTCTGAAAAACAAAAGAATGCAACATTCCAGAAACTAGATTCTAAAAGGTTCTGATGATATTGGATGTCACACAGATGGTCAGAAGTCCTGCTTAGTTGTTGGAGAAGGTGAGTCTCAAAATGTACCTCACTATGCTAATCATGTAATAAGAAGTGAGGAGCGCTGAAGTAATGACCACCAAAACAAACAAAACTCTGTGGCCTGTACTCCGCAAGCTAACTATACCAACCAAGTGACCGCCGCTTGTCAGCTAAGTTAGTGCCAACTTTGGCGGATAGAGGGTGTCGTGTGGTCAGGACAACAAATCCTTATGGCCGTTAATTTCAGTTTACTAGACCAGAGTCGCTATTTCCTTCAAATAGCTCCTCAGTTATCCTCATGAGGCTGAGTGGACCCTGTTCCAGACCCACTACTTCTCAGAAAATCTGGTAGCACCAGGAATCAAACCCAGACCTCTGGATCTGTAGCCAGGAACTCTGACCACATAGGTGAAAAAAAATTATACAGTTGTAAAACAGTTAAAAGGTTAGCAGAAGTTATTGACTTCTGGGTTGTTCTGCAAGTCTGGAATGTCAGAAGGAATAATATGTGATTGTATGAAAGAAGGCAAATTATATTCATTTGTAGATTTCATAGTATATAATGTTAGAATGCAAGGGAGTAAGGCTAGGCTGTGTGAAGACAGTTGCATAGGCGAGTGTGCAAGTGGTTCCTACAAAAGCACAATGAAAGAATGTCTTTAAATAGGGTATTTCTGAAAACTTAGGCAATTTAATTTACCAGGTTGTTTGGTAGGGGTGAAACATTTAAAGTTTTGAAGGGTAGCTTTGGAGTTGGAAAATTCAACATTGGTGTTAAATCAACACTGAAGGTGAGTCTCTTCCTGGTGATAGTAGAGCAACTGAACAGTTTCCTGAAGCTCTATATAGAGCAACTGAAGGTGGTGTGTACACTGATGAACACTTGTACAACTGCGATGAAACATGACTATACTCCATACTGCTTCCAAACAAATCATTAGATCTTGAGAATGCACTCAGCGAAGTGGGTATGAAAACAAAGAAAGAAAGAAAGAAAGAAAGAGTAGGGTTGTTGCTGCATTCCTGTAATGCTCGCAAACACAAGCTGAAACCAATGTATTCTGGCAAATTTAAAAGCCCCCAGTGTTTCAGGCATGTAAACATGAAATTTCTGCTTGTGATATACACAACAGTTCCACTACTTGGATGGAATGTGATATTTGTGCCTCCTAGTTTGAAAGTGAATATGACATCAGTAAGACGCCATTTCAATTCCAAAAATACCTGAAAAAACAATAAGCTCTGGGAAGAACTATTCCCATACTTTCCTTCGATACAACATGGACCGCATACAAAATGACATAGCCAATGATTCTTCTATTGCTGGGTATGTGTTTATTGCTGTGGGGACATGTTTATGGAGCTGTTACCTAGCAAGAATACGGAGGAACACACACACAGATGGCAAGGTGATTTCATAAGCCCATGTTTATTTTTTCAAAATAGGGAAAACAGGCTAAAAACATTTTGTTATTGTTGCACCACTGTCCCATCCTTCTGCTCATATTCTGAAGTCAAAGAATGGGGCAGATTAGAGTTGCATTATTGATTCAGCCAAGTCTTTATAGCTCACGGTGAGCTACTAAGAGAAGCTCGAAACTCAGAATTTCTAAGCACATTAATGCTATAGCAAGTGTTACGTAACTTCGAACAAGGCCAAGAGTAACCTTGAATGCTCAAAAGAAAAATTTCAGACAAGGGGGTGGGTTCGAGGGTGTGAGAAGTGACAGGCGGCCAGTTATTTGTAAGGCACCCTTGAAGCAGGTTATACTTACGGTTTTTCTATCATCTGTTTAAAAACGTCAGTTTCCTTGTGCGCTAAATCGTACATAGTTAGTAAGAAATTAGGTCAGGGTATAGGTCTACACTCACAGACGAAGCAAGTAATTGCAAAAGTATATAATTACTTAAAGAGACTAGCAGATAGTGGAGTAAACTTAAAGTCAATCCAGAAAACAGTATGTGAAGCTACTGGAATCGGCCGTACTGCACTGAACGAAATTATTTGAAAAGAAAGGAGCTTAGAAGAGGGCGCTTCCTTTGACTCACCGACCAAGAAACATAAGAAGGAGAAACCTGTAACGGAAAGTGATCAGTTTATAGGAGACACCATCAGAAGAATGATCTATGACTTTCATAAAACAGAGGGCAAAAGAAGAGTTACCATGCCCAAACTTCACAAAAAAATGGTTAGAGACCTAAAATGTGAAGGAAGTCTTCCTAGTTGCAGGAGAATTGTTCGCCAGCTTGGTTTTCGTTGGAGAAGGATGAGGGATAATAGAAAGACACTGATTGAAAGCATAACACCTGTTCTAAACCCTTACATTATCTGAGGACAATCAGGCAATATCGCAGAGAAGGTCGGCCTGTTGTGTATGTCGATGAAACGTACTTGCACAGTAGCTACACATCATCATACTCATGGGATGACCCTCCAAACAAAACACTCTCCTGTCCTGTTGCCAAAGGTCCATGAGCAATTATTGTACATGGTGGTGGTAAGCAAGGTTTTGTGGAGAAAGCTTTGCTTATGTTTAAGTCAGGCAGAAAAACAGGAGACTACCACCACGAGATGAATTCTAGAAACTTTAAGAAGTGGATCCAGGAAAAATTAATTCCAAACTTGCCTCCAAGAACTGTGATCGTAATTGACAATGCAAGTTACCATAATATTGAAGTAAACCGAGCGCCAACTTCAAATACCAAAGTAGGTGAAATGAAACAGTGGTTGGCAGAATGGAACATTTCGTATCCGGCTTTGGCACTGAAACCAGACCTGTACGAAATAATAAAAAAACAAGTCAGATAATAAAGAATATAGACTAGACGCTATTTGTGCTGCTGCTGGACACTGTGATACATCTCCCACCTTATCATCCAGACCTTAACCCTATTGAGATGGTGTGGGGCACCGTTAAGAATTGGGTGGGCCAAAGGAACGTGACATTTAAGTTGGACAATGCAATGCGTCTAGCAGAGGAGAAATTTAATTCCATTTCCGCCGAAGACTGGGCAGCATATTACAATAAAGTGGAAAATCGAGAGGACCAGTACTTCGCAAGGGAAATGGATATCAACACCAGGACAGACAATATAATCATCACATCAGGTAGTGAGGAAAGTGAAACATCAGCTGAAGATGATGAGTAAATAAGAGATATGAGGTATGACCAGTTTTAATTTTCACTATATAGACTACATTTTTAACATGGACACACTAGTTAATTCTACATGCACTTCCATGACGAATGGTTAAATTCTTTTCTTCATTACAGATGACTATTATATTTTAATTTGAAGGTATAAATTAGTAATACACATTGAACGTATTTTTCTTTGCATGAGCACTGACAATATATTTGTATTATTTTAAAGTGTTCTTTGAAAAGAGAATAGGGTAGTTTCAATGAAAGACGAGGGGTCGGTGAAAGTGGAAGAACGAGTGTTAAGAAACTCCTCCCACCACAAGCTATGCATGGGATTTGACTAGGAATGCGGGGCCTTGTTCGAAGTAACGTGACACTGTCTATAAAGGGTGTTGCATGCAGTGTTACTTTAGCTTGGGGAGGGGGGGGGAGTTATGTCAACTACTGCTGAAAACAGCTGAAAAAGTGTGTTGGGAAAGGTAATGTCACAGAAGATGAGACACAGTTATTTCCATTTCCAAAAAAAGAGGTGATTGCTGATTGTAAGGTATTTAGTAGTAATTAGGAAGAGGGTAACTTGGCCGCTTCGAGTGCGACAGATGCAAAAACTGAAGTTGTGTAGCACTTAGTGAAGATGATGTCACTACTTCTGTGAAAAGTGCAAAGACAAACTTGGAGCCAATGACACAGGGATCGATTTTGATAATGATACTGATGATTCCTGTGAAGTAGTGCTACCAAAATTGAATACAGGGACAGAAAATATAAATGAAATGATGATATGCTTAGAACAACAGACTAATAGTGAACACCTTCACATGCTGCCTATGGCAAACATTAAGCAGTATGTTCTGAAATGTACGTTAAATTTCATATGCATATTTTAGTTACTGCTTAAATAATGTATATGTAACAGGTTCTAAAATGAGATGTCATTTTCACTTACAACATGGTTAGCTTTTAACATGGAAAATGAAACTCTTCCCTGACACTTGCTTTTTATCAAGAATCTACTGTTTATGGCATTTATGAGTCATAAGATGAACCATCACACAAACTTGCATTAGTTGAGGATGAAATTATATTGGATGCAACTTAATTTCACAAAGACTTGAATACAAAATAACAATGCAACAACCAGTAAACAAACATGGGAGAGCTGGTTTCTGAAGCAATAGATATGCACACAACAAGAGAGGAAGTGTTGGAAATGGTGTTTTCTGTTGTGTCTGCCCAAGACTATATAGCAGGCATGAACTACACAACTTATTCAGTGTCCCATGTGGAGATGGGGTCGAATACCTCCACCGTAGCCCTGCGAGTTGTAGGAGGCGATGAAAAGGGAAGTCTCAAATCTGAGAGAGTAAAATATGGTTACGAGTCCCACGAGACTCAGACCCAAGAATGACTACGCTGGTGAGGGGCCAGCAGCAATTGTAAAGGACAGACCCATTGTCTCATCAGAGAGAACGCCTCACATCAACAAACCTCTAACTGTCTTAAGAGTAATAAAAATCTGCTCGTAACCCCCAATGGATGCTTTATTTCAAGACAGACTGGCTGACTGTCCATTGATCATAACAAAGACTCAGACTCAACTTACTCAGTCGAGAATGTGAGGGCATTTGGAGCCATGTGTTACGTATGCAGTCAGCAGCAGAGAATGTTGTTGGGATCTGTTACCAGGCAACCACTAGTGAAGTCAAAAGAATCAGAGTGTGCTGAAGTCATTTGTAGACTGTGTAGACTAGCAAGAGCAGTGTAATTACTTACAGTTGTGAATTCTAAGTGTTCAGTAAATCCAATTACCAATCCAAACTCTGTGTCTAGTCACTAGACACAACATAATTTGGCACATTCCTTCATTTCTGTATACAGCCCTGTTGTTCAAGCCGAGTTATATTTTTAACTTGAAGCTGTCACACTCCAGCTGTACCAGTACACAGATACCAATGCCTTCAAGCGCACACATCACACTATATCAGCGTGTCAGTACTTGCCTTCGGACACACATTCCACTACAGTCAGTTTTCTCCAACATATATCGTTATGTTTAGTATTTATTTTGAATCTTTTATATAACTTGACATTATACAAATAGGATGCAGTCCTATAAATTATATAGTATTTATTACCAAGAGTTTTTAGAAAACTCACGTCATATTTGTCCATTCACTAATCCTCTACACAACTGTTTAGTTTATTATCTTTTTGAATGTTTTTTGAAACAGTAGTTTTGTTAATTAATTTTGTACTTAATTCTGTAAACTTCAAGATACAATCTGAACTTCTTAGAACTGTTCAAGCCTATCACTTTATTTATGGATGTCACCTGGGGGGGGGTAATTTTTTACCTGAATATTTGCATAGATCCTCGTTAATGACTCAGTGACAGTATCATTTGAATGTACAAAAAACCCTGCTAGTATTTAATCTGGATGCCATATAATCTGGATCAAAATATGAAAAATTCTGTTCACAGTTGAGTACATACTTTAAAAGATACGTGGGATTTAGGAGCAAGAGGACTTTCAGGCTGTGTTGAGGGCAGCTGGAGAGGCTAAAACCATGCAAGAAAATATTCTGGACTGGCTTGAGCTGGATGAAGGAGACCCTGGATTTCAGCTTTTGACAGAGGAAGAAATTGCTGCAATGGTATTTTCTTATTTATTTTCATCAGCAGCACCTATATTATTAAATTTTCCGTTAGAGCTATCCTCTGCTTCAGCAATCTGGATAATTTCTCCACCCAGTTAATCCAGATTAGTGAGAGTTTACAGTATTTTAAAGATTTCTGACCATTCCCAATTCAGATGTTGAATATCATTATCATTAGGTATGCAGCCTTCTGAAAACTGATCAGCCCAAGGCCAGAGACCCACAGAAGGATCACAAGCTTCTTGCATTGAATAGTCTGTGGCCACAGCATTTTCATCATCATTAGTGTCCTTTGCAGGCAAGTTACACCCTTTCATGTGAAAAGTGCATGTTTGTTTTCTGTTAGCTGTTGAGTTGTCTGCTGTTTTTAGACATGCATTAGAAGGTCCATGCTTATAAGCAGCAAAAGCTATTAATGCTCCACTGGCATTGGATCTGAATTGTGTATTGTCTTCTTCATAGCTCTGTATGTAAGGTGCTTCAAGAACGTCAGTCTCTACGTCATTTAATTCGGTCAGATAATCTCTTACATAACTGAGGTCATTTTCCATAAAATCAAAGTCCTCAGAAAGTACAGAATCTTCATCAAATTTGCTGATTGGAGACTCTATTTTATATTCTTCAAAAATGGCATCTGTGTCATAATCAATGTTAATGCTTGCATTTTGTAGTACAGGTTTTGCTTTTGGTATGTTGGTGACTTGATTTCTATCATCATCTTTGTAGGAACCTGAAAGATACAAATGATTTTCAGTTTTTATCCTGAGTGCATACTTATTTTTTATAGTTAAACAATGGTGTATTTTTTAAGACAAAAAGTTACTATATGCCTTTTCTAGCAGTAGATCTGTGCTTCCTTGAAGGGTATAAAACCAATTAATAACATTCTAATTTGTCCTTACACACATCCATTTTAAAACATTTATCAGGGAGAATTTCTAAGCTAGAAATCTTAAGTCTTCGATGTTCATATTTTTATAACCATATTTATTCTAAATAACTTTGCAGTCACTACCTTGACATCTTTTAGTATCAGCATCATTAATGTGATTTTCCTCCTGTGCTTTCTGGACAACATCCTGAGTGTTTAAAGAATTCAAAACACTTTGTACATCTGTGTTGTTGTTTACTTTTGAATATTCTTGAGGATAGTGCACTTTCATTGCTTCCCATGATAAAGTTACCTATACAAAAAAAGTTTTATTTCAGTTTGCAAGATATCTGTATGTAGTAACATTAAATTAAATTCTAATTTGTATTTCTCAAGGGGAACGTGGTAGCATAGTTGTTCGAGGCACTATGCTGCAAGCCAGAAGGTCACAGGTTTGATTCCAGAGGTCATTGTATTTTTTCAGTTGACCTAATCCTTCCAACCACACAGCCCTGGGTTCGACTCAGCCTCTAATAGAAATGAGTACCAGGACTCTTCCTGGGGGTAAAGTGCAGCCAGTGCACAAGGCTGACAACCTCACCACCATCTATAAGCTGATTGTCTAGAAAATGTGGAAGCCTCAATGTCTCACAACCGTATGGGCCTCCACAGCCTGTTAGAGGGATAGCTTTACTTTTACTTTACATTTACCTTTGTTTCTCACAGTGAAAGTATTCATATATACATTTTTTTAAATCTAGTAATGGGTGTTAGTTGATACACTGCACTTCTAAGAAATTTTGGTAATTAAAACAGAATACTGAAAATTACATTTTCTGTGAATAGTAGTGTTAGAATGATCAAGTCAAGGAGGATGAGGTGGGCAGGTCATGTAGCATGAATGGGAGAAACGAGGAATGCATGTAGGATATTGGTGGGAAAGCCAGAAGGAAAGAGACCACAGGGATGACCAAGGCACAGGTGGGTGGATAATATTAGAATGGATCTTAGAGGGATAGGATGGGATGGTATTGATTGGATTGATCTGGCTCAGGATAGGGACCAGTGGAGGGCTCTTGTGAACACGATAATGAACTTTTGGGTTCCATAAAATGCTGCGAAATTCTTGAGTAGCTGCAGAATTGGCTGCTCCTCCAGAAGGGTTCAGCTCCATGAGTAAGTAAGTAAGTAAATTATTTAGGTTAAAGATGTTCAGCTCTTCCCTAATTTTTTAGTAATTTTATTTGGTCCTGCCTTGTGTACCCTGCTACACTCCTCAAGAATTTTAGTTTCAGTTCATTCTTTTTTGTTTTATTTTTATGTCAAAATTTTGGATCCATATGTAAATGTAGGTACCTCCATAGCTTCATAGAACTTTATCTGAGTATATTTTCTTGTCTTGCTATTCAGCGTTCTTATTGTGCTGCACATTTGGTTACATCTATTCATTTTTATTTCTAAATCTGTTACTCGATACTGTAATTGTGTATCCTAAGTGATTAAACCTATTTACTTATTCAATTATGTTATTATTTATCACTATTTTAGTTCTCACATCAATCATTCCTTTCATAACCACTGGCTTTGTGTTACTGAAACATTTAAACCATATCTTATAGCTATATTATTTAGTTCACATGCTACTTTTTGCAATTCATCTTGTGTATTTGCCACAATCACATGGTCATCTGCAAATAAGATTGTATTTAAAATTAAGTCCTTTTCTTAAATATTTTGTTTGATCACCTGCAGCCTATCTTTGATGACTTTATAACTGATTCAAACTCTGTACCCCCAGACTAATGCCAGCATAACACTTCAAATTATACCTGCCCTCACCATAATTTTCTGTTGCCTTTTGTTGGGCAGTTACATAGCATCTGCAATTGATGGGTACATTATCATTAAATAGAGCTTATGCAGTGTACAGCATGTTTATGGGAGATGGTACCACACAGATGTTGGCCATGCAGGCTACATGTATGCTGTGCCATCACCTGGAAGCAGGATCCATGTTAGCATTTGAACAGCCATGGAAGCATGAAATCTTCTATACATGATGTACCTTACCAGTATTTCCACAAATTATTGCGTACTTTGTTCTCGTTTTCATCGGAATTTTATAACAGTTTGGGTTGGAACATTTGTTATGTAATCACCCAACATAATATGAGATGGAAAATACATTTTTGGAGGTCTCTTCAGTATATATCTACCACTTACCATTGACCAAAAATCTATGATCAAACTGCGGTTGGATTTTAAGAACTCTACCATGTCACCTACTGCTTTCTTAAGGCTTGTTACTTCTTGTCGCATCTTTGAAATCTTTTGGACTTTTTTAACAAGTATATTTATATCCTTCAGAATTGTGAATGCCTGAAGAAAAAGAAATATTATGAAGTGAGATTGAAGGTAATGAGTATACAGTATCAAGTATAGAGTTAGCGTGGTTTCTTGTTTACCTGTTTGTGCACTGTCATAGCTTCTTCAAGCAGGGAATGTGGCGACTTACTCAGCCGACGATTGAAGGAAGCCCGTCTATATCTTATTTCCTTCAGAACATCATGGATAGGATGACCTTTCAGCATTGACACAGATTTACTAACACAGTAATAAGCAGTAATGTGGTATCCCTATGCTATTTCAGCACACTTTTTAAAGATCTTCATAATTACAGTTATATATGAGTACAAAGTGTCTTGTACATTTTAAAACAACCAGGATTTAATATTACTGTATACCCTCAGTTCTAAGATGTACCCTTGATTTTAATGCCACGTCATAATGGAAGTCTTTCGAAGACACTAAAGTGGCAGTTACCTAAACTGTTCAGGGTTTGAAATTTTTGTAAGGATTAAAATACACCTTCAGGTAGCCCAAACATCCAACAGTAAACCAAGATGATAATCAAATGTTCAACAACGCCCCCTCCCAAGAGTTGATTTTAAAAAAGGTCAGATGCAACAATGGAGCATAGTTGTAAGAATGAATGCTCATCAATCTCTCTTCATCACAGAATATTAGTTAATAACAAAACTGCTTGGTACTTTCAGCCTCTAAGCCCCAGTCAGGTGCTTGATATATGGTCACACATAACATTTTTAACAACAGAAATATTTCCAGAATCTTCTTTGTTTCTATCTGTGTGTTTGCTGTCCTCTGACTAGTGTTATGGACATGAAGATCTTTCTTGCACTATAAACATAACAATATAATTTTTAGGACATCAGTTCTTAGATGCCATCAAGCGTAAGGTGCACCCCAATTCAAGACATCTTAAAATTTGAAACAGTTGGTTTTAGAATTGAGGAAAAGTGGTAAGTTTTGTATGTTTTCAGAAATTCATGTAGATTGATGCTTGCTTTTTTAGTTTTGGCAGTATGAGGTGGTATTGTAACGTTTCCTGACTGTTATTGTTGTAACTGCCTCGGTGAAAGAAGATGAGATGGGAGGCCAAGGTCACACTTATACAAGCCTATTGCATTGGTCTGCCATGTGACACTGTGCTGTAAATACATATTGGTTTTACACGAGAGCTTTTTCGACTTTGTGTTTCATTTTGTCTGCGATGGATGGCAAGATTGAGAAACGTATGTATCAAGTTTTGAGTGAAGGTCAGTAAATCCGCTACTGAAATCCTTGAAATGATTCATGAGGCTTTTGGAGAACATTCAGCTGGCCCCACAACCAAGCCCAGCTGAGCTCATAAGTTTACTGCAGAAGAGATGTTCTCATGACCAGCCTTTTCTTCTTGATGGACAGGCTATTCAGTGCCATCAAAAAACCTAATTTAATCGTATCTTTGTGGTCCTCCCCAGGAAAGACCTCTAGATCTGTTAGCTGCTTCCTCTCGGCAACAGGAGCCAACAGTTGAGCCGTCTGGTGCCAGAAGATCTCATGGACTGCTGATGGCATTCACTGATGGGGCAGCTGACTCTCCCAACGCTGGCCCTGGCTGGACCCATAATTGAGCTCAATCTGGAGCCTCTGTTCCTTGAAGAAGAGCCTCCTCTTCTGGGCTGTCCAATTTTTCACACCTATCAGGAGACCTCTTAAGTCTTTCTCTCAGTGGACCCTCAGCAGAGTCAATAAGAGATTTGACTGTCTCCATGATAGCACATGATAGCAGAAAACAAAACACCGAGTCTTTCAAAGCAGTTAGAGAAGCCCCCTGAACCACAAACAGCAGGGATCCTCAAGCTGCCCTCTGTCTTTGCACCAGGTACAGTGCAACCCCCACTTGGTCCAAGCTAGACCCATAATCAAGCACCAGCCAAGACCCCAGCACCCAAGACTGCCCCCCCCCCCACCAACCTGTTCATCTGCCAGTCTGTCCCCTTCTTGATAGGTTATTCACCCATATCAGGAAACCTCTTATATGCTTTGTC